GGCGGAGGCGGCAGCGTCGGCGTGGGGATCTGGGGGAGGCTGCTCAGCTTCGTTCCGTTTCTCACCATCTGGATGTGGTCGTTGAACTGATCCTGAAAGGGAGGGAGGAAAACAGAGGCCGAGCTGCCAAAGCTGCTGCCTGAGGCAGTTCTGTGTGCCCCCATCGTGTATGCATGTGCGTTAGCTCAGGGAGGCTTGCACAAGAGCTCTGCAGCTGCTCACGAGGGCACACTGACCGACCGGGCCACGCTTTTGGGCACAAACCCTGCGGGGTTGGCTTGCTCCTCTCCCAAGGAGCCTTGAAACGAGCAGGCGAATAAGCACTAATGACAACCGCTCGCCGTTATGTCGGGAGCTCTCTGCCAGGGACTTACTCGGACGCTTTCCTTGGTCATTCGTATCCTGTTCAGCCTCATCTCCCACTCCTGTTTGGGCCTCATGGTCTCCAGTGTGGGAGGCGCAGACCTGCAAGCACCATTCAACTTTCCCTCTTGCCGCTGTGCTCTCATCGGCAGCAAAGGGAGAGAAGGCAGAACCACGGAGCCCCCCGAGCCCTTTCCCCAGCAGGCTCCCCTCCTCCAGCCAGGCAGCACGGGGAGCTCGTGCCCGGGAGGAACCGTGTCCACATGCCCTTGCTCTGCACCACTGCAGAATCACGGGAATTTAATAAAGAAACCCACAAGGAACCTCAGCCTATGTCAGGCAAACCTCTCCAAGGAAGAGCAAACAGGCACGTGGCAACACCTGAGTCATGCTGCCGCTTCTGGGACTGCAGGAACTTACTTGAGGTAAGTGAGGTGCAGCTCTGCTTCTTTTTCTGCTTCCTCTAGTTTCAGCACCAGCAGCTCCTTTCGGCTCTCCAGGGACAGGATCTAGCAGAGACAGGCCCCACATGAAGACGGCGTCTGCACTCCCCTCTCATGCTGCCGAACTGTGGCTGTAATCCCTTCACTGAACACCCTGCTAACTGCACTGGGGCATCAGGTGGAATTCACGGTTACTGCACTGATGTTTGCTGAGACCTGCCCTGGCACTTGGCCTCGTTGCTGTCGACTGCCCCTAGTTTCAGATCCCGACGCTCACTTGTCAGTGACCTGGAACCACCAAAAGACCCTCCTCAGGCACCCTGCAGGTGAGAAGCCATCCACCAACCTCCGCTTTCCAGGCGCGCTCTGTCTCCTCGAGAATGTTCCTGTTGATTTCGTTGTGCTGGTTCTTCAGCTTGTCCAGCTCCATCTCCCAGAGCTGCCTGCGGGCAGACGCAGAGGGGGCCGTTTGCAGGCAGCGCCCGCAGCGAGGCGCTCCGGAACCCTCCTCCTGCCCGCTCTGGGGACCGGCGCACGGTCCTGACCCACAAAGCTGAGTCCACACACACAGCCGAGCCGTTTCAGTCCTGCACAACCTTAAGCACTGCACAGATGTGCCCAGAGTCGAGAATAGTCAGGAAGTTGTAGGGAACATCACTGAGAGAAAGAGCCCTAATCCCGGGAAGTCAATATTCAATCAGAGGCAGCGGTTACAAGCTGTGCCAATCCCCTGAGCAGAAATTCTAATCTTAGGGGATCTCTATGCCACAAGTATCCGGGAACCTGCTGTTGGCCGGGATCAAGGGGGATTTAATCCAGAGGCTGCAGGCACCCGCCCGCTGGAAAAGGAGATAAAACCTTTAGAGCGCCTCACTGCACAGCACTGTTCAACTGCCCTCACCAGATTCACTCCAGAGCAAAATATTCGAGGGTGAGGGAAATCTCAGTTGTCATCCGTCACGCAGCTTTTGCTCCCCGCAACCGCAGGGGAAAGACTGGCAGGAAAAGGTTACTCAACAGCATTATCTTGGTAATACAGAGAGCCTTACTTCTCATCGGACTGCTCTGCGATCAGAGAAGCAATCTTGTGCTCCTTTTCCTCCTGTTCTTTCAGCAACCTGCACAAGGAAAGACATTGGACAGATGCAGTCACCTACTGCAAAGGTGTCATCGCGCAGCCCCTAATGCTGCATGGCTCCAGGTTAAACAAGGTATTTATTTGCGCAGCTGCATCCCCAGCGTTGCAACATACTCTGAGAACTAAACCATTCAAGAAGCGTTTGGAAGCGACCACTACCGTGACCCACGAGAGAAGAGCCGGAGTCTGCTGTATCATGGCACTGCCCAAAGCCTGCGCCGTGCAGCCAGAACCCTCTGCAGAGGGCTGTGCCGCTGACAGCAGCCTGCAACACCTCCTTTGCAACGGGAGGAAAAGGGAAGGAGTTCTTGGAAGGATTACTGAGGCAACCTCATCCAAAAACACGACGGCCAGGCCCTCAAGAACCACACCTGCAGGGCAAGAGGGAAGAGCTGCGCGAAAGGGCCGATTCCCCATCCAAAGGACCTCATGCTCTTCCCCACCAAATCAACGCTCTCTTGCTCGCGAGCCCCGCATCACGCAGAGAGGCTCCTCGCCCGGGGCAGCCGCCCGGCTTGCAGCAGAGCATGGCTGCAGCAGGGAGCCTTGCGAGCCACCACGTGCAAGATGGGCAAGCAGCCTTCCGCCTCTAAACTGCATTGGGGGTCCTCTGTCTAGAGGAGCTGCCCAGCCTGGAGGAGACGTGTTCAAAACAGAACAGCTCCCTCCCTGAGCTGCTCCCCATAGCACTGCTTGCTGCTTCCAGAAGTTCACAGCCATCTTCCTTCCCAGAGCTCCAACTATACGCTTTCTTTGCCAAGAAACACTTGCTTCCCCATACTAATACCTTCTGCCCTTCTCACAGAGTTTCTCAATCTCTGCCTTCAGATCCTGCTCCTTCTGCAGGAATTCCTTCTTTTCTTTCTCCATCTTCTTCTTTGTCTCTTCTCGCTTGATGGTCACATCCTGAATGGCTTTCAAAATCTCCTAGGGGAAACAAGCCTCATGCAAATAAAGAGCAAAATCCCCAAATAATACTTTTGTTTTCAAATCGGTAACGGTCTCAGTTAAGTTGAAGAGACATTACGTGCATCACGGAAATGTTTCTTTTTTGCAGATCGAGCCCCAGATAAGATTTATATAGGGGTTAGTATGAGGAAACTGAGGAGACAGACAGAGACTGTCTCTGTCTCCTGTCTCCTTAGAAACATTCTAAGGGCCAGTGACTTCCATGCCTTGCTTTAGGTCAAAGTGATGGGTCCCTGAGGGTTCCTTTTGCCTCAACAGAAGGTACCGTAGAGACAGCTTTATTTCCCCAAATACCTGGTGGTTCTTCATCTCCTCTTCCCTCCGCTGCTGCAGCTGCTTCAGCTGCACCTGCAGCTGGTTCTCCACTTGCCTCTGCTTGTCCAGCACCTCCTGGTAACGCTCCTTTAGCAGAGCCCTCTCAGACATCATTTTGTCCTGTGGGTAGAGAGGAACCTCAGGGAGAAGCTGCTCTTTCCTTCACACCAAAGAGGACGTGGACACGAGCAGGAAAGCTCGAGAGCCCCTTAAAGCCCAGCGGGCGCCAAGGCTCAGGTTGTCAGCAAACACGGTGACGTTCTGCCGTCAACACTGGGGTTCTCTAGATTGGACCAAGGGTCCCCTGGACTGAAGCTGCAGCGAACGCTGCATTTCTTCCTCTCAGGAGCAAGCTGCAGAACTGCAAGGCTAGCGCCAAAAGCAGAGCAGGAGAGGACGAGGACGCTGAGCACCAGGCGCACGCACTTAGCTCATGTAGCCGCGTTTTGTTGCAACCTTGCTATGGCACGGACGCTTGGAGTGGGCAAGCTCCCTTTTTGTTTCTCTACCCTCTTTGGAGAGTTTGGTGGCCCAGGAAAGGAGAACACCACATGGGGCACAGGGGGACGCGTGGGCTGGCATTGAAACCCGTGGGAACTTGAGGGAAAGCTCAGTGGGTGTTTTGTTGGTGCCTGCACATGCAAGACGGGTACACCGAGAGGAACGTGCGGACGCCCGCGGACGGGCAAGGCGGCGAGCGCCCCACCAGAGCACCCCGAGAGGCCGTGCGCCAGCGCCCGCGAGCCCCGGCCCGGCACCCACCAGGCTGCGCTCGATGTCCTGGTCCGTGTTGACGTCGGCGTCGGCCGTCCTGAAGTCGGTCTGCGGAGGGAGGCAGCGATGGGCGCGGGCCGGGCGCCGGGCCGGAGGGC